TGAGAGAGATAGAAGATATTGATATTTCGACGTATACAAATCTCAACCTTTTGTACGTTTGCTTCCAACTCTTATGCTGTTCGACGCAAGAAGAACCGTTCGGGAACGTTCCTTCCTTTTAGCGAACACAGTGTTTCTCAACTTGCTCTGTGACACTCGCAAAACTGGTTAACGACGCCGTATTCCACGAAATATATATATATATATAATAATAATAGTTAAAAAATATTAATAAAGAATCCTCGATTCAAAATAAAAATCCAAGATAATATACAATGTAAATATATACATATATATTCGATTTTTCTTTTTTTTTTTTTTCTATATCTAGAAATCAATCGAACAATACTAAAAAAATTCTACATATTCGTTAATAATATTACTAACGAGATTATAAACTTATTATTCGGAAGACGTGAACAATTTTTTTTTCTTTTTATATATACATATATATAATATAAAAGTGTCTATTAATTTGTTTTAATGACAAAATGAAATAAAATATTTTATATATATATATATATATATAAGCATGTGTCGTTTAAAAAAGCTTAGATGACTTAATACAAAGTTTAGAGAAAAAAAAAATAAATAAATAAAAAAGAAAAAAAAAAAAAAAGAAAATTGAAGGGAAAGAACGAAAAAAGAAATCTATACTTTCTAGCCACCCTGTATATAACTTTATCTCTTACGTCATCCATACAATTGAGGAACGGGGATTAGATTGGCTAATCGGTCAGAGATAGACAACACACGGTTGAGAAACATCCCTGTGCGTGTTAAGTCAAGTAACTATTACTAAAACTCAACTACGATCATTTGAAATATTCTTTTTCATTTCTTCGAAGTATACAAGTCGACATTCCTCTTCGTTATCGTTATAAAGTTGGCAAACCTCTAACGAATTCAACAAGTTTCACGTCGGACTTCCCTTTCTAACCTACGGACTTTTATCCCTTCCCCTTTACTCCTCCTCTTCATCCATCCCCATTCGATTCTTCTCGCTCCTCTCTCTCTCTCTCTGTTTCTTATTCTTTCTCTTAAACACTCTCCTCCTTCTTCTCCTACCTCTCCTCCAATACTATCTTACTGGTAGGATCAAAACCGGGTTAATGTCGATTCGACCGTTTCCAATGTCGCGGTTACGCGAAAACGAGCCTTACGTAAGAACATCGTCGTCCAACGACATTGGAAAGTAATCGAACTGGTATTATATGTATATATACATACGTACATACATACATACATACATACATACATACATACATACATACATATATATATATATATATATATATATATATGTGTACAGAATCAGAAACGAGAGACGCACCTGATTTTTGAGAGGTCACGTAGATCCAATAGAAAAAGAAAATTTCCATTTTTTTTTTTTTTTTTTTAACAAATTTCTGTGTGTGTGTGTAATATACTTTTTTCTTTTTTAGTATGAAATATATTATTTCGTTTTAAAGTAAAAGAACAACAAAAAATCTTATTAGATTTCCAGTTTATGTATTGTATATGTGTATCTCTGGTGTGTATATATAATTTTTATCAAAAATTATTACAAAACTTATTAGATTCTTAGTAATTATTAACAACATATTGCAATATATTAAAATGTATAATATACTTAATGTAAGTACTTACATATATATGCACAAATATACATACATACATAGATATACACGTATTAAATATTTAATAATTTTTGTCCTTTAAAAAAAGAAAGAATAAAAAATGAAAAAAGAAAAATAATAATAATAATAATTCACCAGATTAATTTCCCATAATAAATTGAGGAAGAATACTTTTATATTTTTCTATTAACTATCTATCAAATCCCATAAATTTTGCTTTTCAAAAATTTGTTTATTAACTTAAAAAAACATCCATACAATATATATACTAGCGTAATAGTCCAGATGAAAAAAAGAAAAGCAAAAAAAGAAAAGAGGGACAAAGAAACAATGTGTGTGCGTATGTGCGAGAGAAAAATAAGAGAGAGGAAGAGAGAGAGAGAGAGAAAGGGGGAGACGGGGAGAGAGAGGGAGAGAGAGAGAGAGAGAGAGAGAGAGAGAGAGAGAGAGAGAGAGAGAGAGAGAGAGAGAGAGAGAGAGAGAGAGAGAGAGAGAGGAGAGAGAGAAAAAGAAACAAAAGAAAGAAGTACAGAAAGGAAGATGGATTCCACGAAAGGCGATGTTCGGCACGAAACGAAACGAAACGTAACGAAACGAAACGAAACGAAACGAAAGAGGCCTGCCGGCCGGCGGTTACTCGTCCGAGTCCATGACAGCTTCGTGAGCTGTGTTTACAAAAGAGTAAGAGAGATAGAAAGAGAAAGAGAAAGAGAGAAAGAGAGAGAGAGAAGTAGCAGAGAGTGCTGAACAAAGCGTTGTACGTGTACGTATATAAGAATCGAGCCATGATGACGCGACTCCGCATCGTCGTATGTACACATACACACGCTCAAACACGCACAAACACACACATACGCTCAAACACGCACAATACGCACAATACACACACACCACACACACACAGAGAGAGACAAAGAAAATACATTCGCATATATATATAGGGAAAAAAAAAAAAAAAAAAAAAAAAAAAAAAAAAAAAAAAAAAAAAAAAAAAAAAAAAAAAAAAAAGACGTAGAAAGAAAAAAAAGAGAAAGAGAAATGGAGAAAGAAAGGAATCTTTCGAAACGTGCTTTTTCGGACGAAGTTTAGACTATTGGAAAATCGTATACCTAAAAGAAAAGGGGAGAGAGAGTGCTTACCCTATCGGTCGTCGTCTTATTTTTCTTCTCCTTTTTCTTTCAATTAACTGAAGGACAAATTCGTTCCTTTGATGCCACTTTTCTGAACTAGAACGAACGACGACGACGACGATGACGATAATAAAATACGCATTTTGTCTCGCGATTATTTCGTCAAATTACACAAAGTAAAATAACGCGTATCGTATCTCCTCGTAAATGTTGTCCTTCGCGTGTTCAAAAGCGAATGACATATACACAAGCATACGTACATCTATATATATATATATATATATATATATATATATATATATATATATATATATATATATATATATATATATGTATATATATTAATATGCCATATATTAATATTTATAAAAACGATCGAAAGAGGAATAATACTTGACACAAACACACGAGCGTCTACGCTAACGACGTTTTTTTTATCGCTTTGCCATCGGCGATCAAAATCACAACTAAAATATTAAATAAATAAATATACATGTATGTATACGTATGTATATCGTCCTCAATTAACTCGTAACTCTTATTATTATTATTATTGTTTTTATTATTATCATTATCATCATTATCATGGTATCATAATTCTCGTTAAAAGTTTTTCAATCGATCGTACGATCGACGTAGTATCCGGGAATAGCCGCCATGATAAGATGGACACCCCTGAACGTATCGCGAAGTCGTTAACCGTCTTCGTGACACGCGTGTCGCTTACGGACAAGAGACGCGAAATAAATATCGATGGCTTCTCTCTCGCTCTCTCTCGCTCGCTCTCTTTCTCTCTCACACACACACATACATGTTCTCTCTTTTTCACTCTCTCTCTCTCTCTCTTTCCTATAAGAGAGAATATCATCGGTTTGTAACCGTCCAAATGAACGAAACGAATATTTCTTAGAAACAACACACATACACGTATATACGTTAGAAAATCTATACGTATATATTATATAAACACACTGAATATAAACTAAATATAAAAAGTCACCACTGGCTGATCATCCCATACAAATATATCTCGTATTTCTTAACCTATACGAAAGAAAGAAAGAAAAAAGAAAAAAGAAACTTATTTGGTGTGAAAAATTTCCACGCATAGAAAAAAATAAAAAATATATACATATATATATATAGGATTTCCATACTTATAATACATTATAGGTTAGACTTTATAGTAATATATAATAATAGTAGTGCAGTAGTAGTAGTAGTAGTAGTAATAATAGAAGATTGAATAGACATCCGTTCTTATAAAATACGTATTATTATGAACAAGTAGTAGTAGTAGTAGTTTAGTATTACTAATAATAAAAGTATCTATATACCTTTATATGTATATATATATCCATACTTATACGCATTATAGGTTATAAACGTGTGTAGTACTAGACAATAGTACTACTAATAGTATTAATAGTAATAGTATAGTGTAGTATAGTAGTAAAATAGTAGTAGTAGTGTAGTAGAGGATTCAAACGGTCGTGGATCGAATTTCTCGGTCGAAGAGGTAACGCTTAGTCCGAGAAGAAGCATCGTTGAGTTCTAAAGAAAGGAGGATGAGGAGAAGTAAAGGAGGGGGAGGGGCAGGTCGGAGAGGGAAGAGTAAGGAGGAGGAGTAAGGAATGTCGGCAGGTAGAGAAAGATAGAAAGAGATAGAAGGAAAGAAATGAGTGAGAGAGAGGGAGAGAGAGAGGAGAGGAGTGAGAAGGCAGGAGTAAGGATCTAGCTCGGTCTTCGTCTCGATTCGAAGGGCACGCGAGACGTGTTTCATTGGCGGACATGCGCCCTCTGTCTTCTCTTCCACAGGTCCGTAGAGAAACGTGTGGGGTTATGAGATTTTCGAAGAGGCGGCCGGGCGGGCCTGCGCGCGCGCCTCGCAAAAATATAAAATGAAAAATAAAGAGGGAATGATTCGTTCGACGAATAAGAAGAAGAAGAAAGAGGAAAGGAAGACGAAGACGACGTTTACTCGTCGTCCTCGAGGCGCTTGATCCGCAAAAGCCCTCGAGCAAGACTATGTGTCTCTCGTAGCTGTATGAAAAGTAGAGAGTGTGTACATTATATATATATATATATATATATATAACACGCATAAGCTCATGACCGTCTTATATATATATATGTATATGTGTACATATATGTAGCATATTATTATTATTATTATTATTATTATTATTATTATTATTATTATTATTATTATTTGATATAGTATACTGACCGTGACAACGGTAGGACGATGATGATCACCGGCGAAGTACGTCGTTTTGAATCCACCGCCGGCTGGCAATTTTCAAACGAAGAAAAGAGAACGTGTTATCACAGAAAAGTTTATATATCTTTCCTCTCTTTTTTTCTTTCTTTCTCTTTTATTTTTTCCTCTTCGCTGTTTCTTTTATTCCTTTTTCTTCTTCTTACAGGAGTCGTTTATCTCTTTTTTTTCTTCTTCTACTTTCTCTTCTTCTTCTTATTATTATTATTCTTTACACAAAGCACAAGAATCTTTCGATGGAAAAAGAAAAAACTAAAAGACGCATAGATAGAGAATGTTAGATATATAGATAGATAGATAGATAAATAGATAGATAGATAGATAGATAGATAGATAGACGGATAGAATAGATGGATAGATTGAGATATACTGATAATCAAAAATAAAAAAAGCACTCGCGGGAAGGGAAAGAGAGAGCGAGAGAGAGAAAAAGAGAGAGAGAGAGAGCGAGCGAGAGAGAAGAAAAAACAACAAAAAAGAAAAGCGAAGATAATCCTCGAGAAAATAGAGATTCGATGATATATATATACATATATTTTTTTTTCTCCCCCACGCAGAATACACACACACGCACGCACACACTATACGTACGAATTGGTGAATACACGCACGGTGGTCATGGGGGCACAACGCCAGCCACACCACCGACGATTTTGATTTACGGTATAACACGCGATAGACGCGAAGTACGATTCGAATCGATGCCGTGAACAAACAACGTCAGGCTGTTTCCTCGATGACGCGTTCTTGTCTCGTGCTGGTAGTCTCACTGTCGTTTAGTGTAGTAGTAGACGTAATATTAGTAGTAGTAGTGTATTAGTAGTGTAGTAGTAATATTGTAGTAGTATTAGTATTGTGGTAGTGGTAATAGCAATCGTTGGTTGGTGCGTCGCTTGTTCACGACAGAGAGAGAGAGAGAGAGAGAGGAGAGAGAGAGAGAGAGAGAGAGAGAGAGAAAGCGGGATAACACGAGAGAACGACGAACGGCAATTTGGAGGTTAGGAACACGCTGCTGCTGCTGCTGGTGCTGCTATTGCCGTTCTGGCTGCTTCCTACTGACATTTAGATTACAACGATGACTACGTTAATGACGATGATGATGACGATTGCAAAAAACATGCGTCTCGTATCTTAAGTGCTTCTCGATCTCTCGATCTCAAAAGAGAGAGAGAGGAGCGTAACGTGACGAAGATATAAAGACGAAGAGACGACGATGATGACGAACGATGACGAAAAAAGGGAGAGAGAAAGAGAAAGATATAGCTTTTCTTCTCTTTTCTTCCCGTCCTTGTTGCCTTGATTCTCCCTCTTCTTTTGAACTATGGCTACGTCTATACGTATACGGGGGGCTCTACGGTTTAGCCGGCGACGTACGAAGCTCCTTCGTGACTTCGCGCGCGCACGAGAAACGGACGAGCAGGAGCGTGTCGAAGGTTTGGTGAAGAGGTGGGGAAGAGGGGTAAAGAAGGAGAAGGAGGAGAAAGAGGATGTAGCGAAAGAAGAGGAGGAGGAGAAGGAGGAGGAGGAGCACGGCGTAGGAGTAGGCAGGCAGGCAGGCAGGCGAACTGACTTGTGAGGGAGGAAGAAAGGATGGGAGGGAAGAGAGGGGAGGTGATGTTGTACGCGGCGATCGCGAACGTCACTGCGTGCGTTGAAAAGACGCGGGAGAAGTTTCATGTGGTGTTGTTACCACGTTGTGACAAAACGAATAAAACGAGAGAAGAAAAGGGAATTAATAATAAAAAAAAAAAAGAATGAAATAATATAAAGAAAGATGAAAAAAATAATAGAAATTTTACGAAGAATAGATAGACTTACAACAATTTTCACGGACACACTATATCGCATAGTTGAGAAATGTGTGTACGTGCGTACGTCGTGCGTGCGTACGCGCGCGCATATATATATATATATATATATGTGTATGTGTGTGCGTGTGTGCGTGCACGCGCGAGAGGAGGGAAGAAGGGGGTTTCGTAGGCGCGTACACAAAGAAAAAGATCACCCCACCTTTTCCTTTCTTTTTCTTTTTATTCTTTCCTTTTCGTTTATGTTTCCTCTCTTCTCTCGTTTTCTTCACTTTTCTTCTTCTTCTTCTTCTTCTTCTTTTCTCCCTTCTCTTCTATTTCTATAAAGAAAATTTTCTACACAAAAAGGACGATGATGATCGTCACCACGCACTAAACGAAATACAATAACGCACTCGATAATAAGGAAGAGATAGATCTCCGTTCTCTCTCTCTCTCTCTCTCTCTCTCTCGCGTTGTCCTTTTCTCCGAAGTTTGTAACGAACGAACGAACGAACGAACGAACGAACGAACGAATGCACGAACGAACGGCAACGACGTTGTAACTTCGTAGAAAAAGAGAGAAAGAACGGAAAGAGGAAAGGAAAGAAAAGGAAATGAAACGAAACGAAAGAAAGGAAAGAAGAAAGAAAGAAAGAAAGAGAACACACGCACCACGATAGAAGAGGAACACACGAGTCCGCGCGCGGCACGCCGAGGAGAAGAAGAAGCTGAGAGGGAAGAGAACGAACGAGTGAGAAGGACAGAGAGTAGGGATAACCGACGCCGTGTAACAGGGAATAGAGAATGGTAGAGGGGAGAGGGGATTGACTGGCAGCGTGGCTCGCTAGCGTTCGGTAACGCTCGGTTATACTCGGCTATCGTTACTCGACTGGGAGGGAGAGAGTACCGGCGGCGTGGAAACGTCGTGACGGCGCCGTTGCCGGTGTGTTACTTAGTAGTGGGGAGGGGAACCGTAGAGGGGAGCAGCCGGCAACAGCCGACTCGAGTCCGCTCTTCTTCGTCGTTCGTTCGTTCGTTCGTTCTCTCTCACTCTCACTCTCACACACACTCTCTCTCTTTCTCTATCTTTCTCTGTCACTTTTCCCCCTCGCTCTTGCTCACACGCGTTCTTCCTTTTCACGACGTATATCCTTACACACGTTTTATACGTCATACGTACATACGTACGTACATACGTACGTAGTGTGTGTACACACGTATATATACATAAGTGTTGTGTAAAGTGTATATGTATAGTACGTTCTTGTGTGTGCGTCCGTCGTATGCTGGTAAAAACCGTATCGGCACACGGTGTGTGCACAAACATACAATTCAACTTCATACGTTATATGTATATATATTGTATGTATGTATATATGTATGGTCGCGCGTGTACAGGGTGATACTAAAAAAGGAATACATAAAGACAGAGTACTACGATAGGCCTAAAGGAAATAGTTTATAGCTTATGAAAGAATGAAAGGGATGGGATAGGATGGGATGGGACGGGACGTGCCTGTGAAATCAATTACAAAGAACGACTCTTTACCTCTTCTATGTATTATAACCCGGATTCTTATTTCGATGCGTGAGTTATATATCTATGTATTGTATATCGACGCCATCTTCCGTCGGTACGTTAATTATGCAGTCTCTAACGGACTTGCACGTATGTGTGTGTGTGTGTATATATGTATGTATGTATATACGTATGTATGATGCATGCATATATGTATGATGGAGAACCTAACCTATACATACAGAAATAGTCGTCGTCGTCGTCGCTTTGTCGTTGGTTGTACAAACGTAATCGCAGATTTTTACCTTTCTCGTGGTTTCTTCTAACATTTATATATATGTATATATATATATATATATATATATGAATGTATACGTAAAATATTCCTTGGCACGTACTTGGAATTGCAAATAAATCAGAAATCATAAAAATTGCAGATATACACCGGCGGTAGTCCCGCATTTTCCACAGCCGAAATAGATATTACGAGCAACGCGGAAGAAGAAGAAGAAGAAGAAGAAGAAGAAGAAGAAATAGTAATAGTAATAGTAATAGTAGCAGTAGTAGTAGTAGCAGTAATAATAATGATAGTACTAGTAGTAGTAGAAATATAAGCTACCTCAGTCTAAACGAAGAGAATGTAAATTTTTCGCCTTTACCGTTTTGATATATCGGTTTGCTTCATTTCCCTCGCGTTTTCGCAAGAAGATTCCCAAATTCTTTTACCAACAATACGTTCTCTCTTTCTCTCTTTCTCTTTTCCTTATCTCACTATTATGAATTTCTTTATACCCTAGTATTACGATGTTTATTTCCACAGTTAATTTGCGACAGTATTTTCTACGTGCCATAAGGCTATATAAATGCTACGACATAAGTTATATATTAGTATATACATAGATTTTTATATAGTATATATATGTATATATATATATGTATGTATGTATGTATGTATGTATGTATGTGTGTGTGTGTGTATATGTATATATATATATATCATGTATATACGAATAACTCGAAAAGAGAAACATTAACTTAGTATATAATTTAGTTCAACTGACGTAGCATACGATAAGTTACATTATGGAAAATGTTATTTCGAAAGAAAGAAAGAGGGAGAAAGAAGAAAAATGGACTAATAAAAAAATGGGAAAGGACGGTGGCGATTTAGTCAATACACATATTTTCTATTAAAATAAATATTAAACATATATATATTGCTAGATATATAATATAATTTTTATTCATGTAATGTCTTACGTATTTATACATATACGTATATATATATATATATATATATATATATATATATTATATATCGTTCGTTACATTATTAATTAACTAATCGTCATCTCTGTCAGTTATAATAAATCTCTATCTATGTATATAAATTATAATCACGACCTACCCAGAGAGAAGTTTCATTAAAACTTGCTTCCGAAGCTTTAGTCTCGTTACTATTTCATTACATGCTATTTATATTCCATGTACATATACATAGATACGTGTACATACATATATAAATATGGGTGTATGTATATGTATATATGTATGTATGTATATACGTTCGTACGTATGTATGAACGGAACATATCAAACAACGTGCATCGTGTCTCGTTAATACTCGTTTGTTTATTCATTCGTGTCTAATTGAAAATGAATATATAAAACACGCGAAAAAGGAAGGAAAAAAAAAAGAAAAAAAAAAAAAGAAAAAAAAAAAAAGAAAAAAAATAAAATAAACAACAACAAAAACAAATAAAGCAGAGATTGAAACGAAGCGATTATCTGTTGATTTACGTTTTACGAAACAAAACAAAATAAAACAAAATAAAAAGATAAACGAAGCGTAAATAGAAATAAATTAGTTTGACCGATAAAATACTATATATAAATATAAATCAGGGACGCTCAAAAGCAATAATAATTTTTACGATAGAAATAAGCAGATATTTGTGGTATGCGAACCACTGCGTTTTTATAGACGGCAGCCATATTGTTATCTTTCATTCGATGACGAATAAATTTGTAAAGATATTTCGACGATTAAATTCGTATGCGAGAAAGAGACAGGGACAAAGAGATAAATAGATAAAGAGAGAGAGAGAGAGAGAGAGAGAGAGAGAGAAAGAAAGAAAGAAAGAAAAGAGACACCCGGTATAAGGAGACGCGTAGATGGTCGCATGGTCGAAAAGAATTGGTAAGAGGAAGAAAGAATGAAAGAGAGAGAGAGAGAGAGAGAGAGAGAGACAGACAGAAAGAAAGAGAGAGAGACGAAAAGATGTGTGTATGAGAAAGAAAGAAACGAAAAGATTCGAGTTGTGTTGTGTGTGTGTGTGTGTATGAGGGGGAGAGAGAGAGAGAGAGAGAGAGAGAAAGAAAGTACTCAGCAAAAAGGCGATGCTACCAGCAGCGGCATCAGCGTATGTGTCAAGAGAGGGGGAAAGGAATGAAAGACAAGGTGGGGGAGGGGTTGGGAAACGACGAACGAAGGAAGAACGAAAGAGACCTTGCACGGTTCTTAATCTATCTCTCTCTCTCTCTCTCTCTCTTTCTTTCTTTCTCTTTCTCACTTTGTGACAGAGTCTCGCACGTAGAAAACGATGCTTTGTATGTTGGTTGGGCAGGCGGCAGTTTACTGAGAAAAAGAGAGAGAGAGAGAGAGAGGAGAGAGAGAGAGATAATATGGGAGTTTCTAAAGAAGGAAGGAAGAGAGACAGAGAGGGAGGAAGAGAGAAAGAGGAGAGGCATGTCACGCACCTTGCTTCTTTTTTTATAAAATCGAAGGAAGACGCTCCGCAGAAATTTCGAACGTTCTCGAATTTTCATTATTTCCCGCGCTTTTTCTCTCTCTCTCTCTTTGCCCATCGCTCATCTTTATTTCTTTCTTAATTTTTTTTTCATTCTTTCTGCTTTATACCTATAAGTACCAACCAATAAACGAGAAGAAAAGAGAAAAGGATGGGAAGAAAAAGAATGGGACACCGTGTAATTCGTTTTTTTTTTTTTTTTTTTTCTTTCCTTTTTATATTATTGGTTCTGAATACGTGCGAAGATATGTAATGGAGAACGTTTTCGAACGTACGTACGGATTTGAAGTGGAGAAGAGAAAAAGAGAGAGATAGAACGAGATATATAGAGAGAGAGAGGGGGGGGGAGAGAGAGAGAGAAGTAGAATGAGGTCGACGCATTCGCGATTCGTGCGCCCTGCGGCTCGAACGCAAGCCAGCATAGGATCGTATATGCCTCTTGCATTCGTGATGTCCCAGCGGAATACGAGCACCGTGTCTCCGAGGAGCAACGCCGTTCATGGAAATACAGAGAAAGAGGAACAGGGTAGGGAGAAGAAGAAGGGGAGAGAGAGAGAGAGAGAGAGAGAAGGAGAGGGGTTTCAAGGCTGCGCTTGAAAAATGTACACTCTTAGAAGGGAAGGGATCAAGCTCTTCCCTCATGGGACATGATCTGATCGTTACTTTACCCTGCCGACGAACTTCTCTCTCTCTCTCTCTCTCTCTCTCTCTTTCTTTCTTTCTATCTCTATCTATCTATCTTTCCTCTTCGTCTTTTTTTTCTCTCTACCTTCGACCGGAAAAGAATTTAACAATCCGCTTGTTATTTTTGACCCAATTCGATCTATCCCTACCTCGAAGCTTAAAGAAGAAAATCGTGCCGGCGACCGTGAAAAAGGAAGAAAGAAAGAAAGAAAGAAAAAGAGAAAAAAAAAGAGAACAAAGGGAAAGGAAGGGAGAAATTTTCAAAGGTGGCGTCGATATCAAAACGTACGAAAAAGTATCTGCGAAGGTTATGCATTATACAGTGAAAGAAAAACTGAAGAAAGATGGCGACGTACGCAAACGCGTACGTATACGTATATGTATATGTATGCGAGGGAAAAAAAAAAGCATAGAAAAAAAGAAAGAAGAACAAGTAGGAAAACGTAATACCTTA